TGCCAGGCCGTGGGCTCCACGGTTCCTCTTCGGATGGGAAGCGTCTTTCCTCTTGCACTAGAGCTTGCACTGGGTGTCAGTAGCCCGCTCCTTACACCCGTGCAGCTTACTGCTGCTCCCAGCAGCACTGGTGTAGCCGACACCGACTCAGATGATACTCGTCGAATGAATGAGTATGGGCCCTGCCGAGCTGCTCTCGGCCTCACTGGGCATGATCTCTCAACAGCTCCAACTCCCCTGATCCAGCCACTGTCCTGACGACTCTCCTCTTCCTGCCCAGACCCTACTCTGCTGGCTCCCTCCCCGCTTCCTGGAAGCTGCTTCTCAGTCCTTTAAACATGCCCGTTCCTCCACCACTTTCTTTCCCTCGCAGGATTCAACCCCAGGTCCTCTTCTCTCTCTTTTCTTCCCATGGGACCTAATCCACTGCATGGTTTTAATTACCACCTATAATGACAGAAGCCGTAATGGGTAACATTTATAGAGGATTTACTAAGTGCCAAGTACCGCCCTGTCTCCGTCCTCCTGTAATCCTCGGATGAGGTGGGCACTATTGTTCTCGTTTTAGGGGTGACGAGCAGAGTTCTTGAGGGACCTCTCTCGGGCTCAGTCCTCTCCAGACCCGTATTTCCATTTGCCTCCCGCACCTCCCCCCTTGGATGCCACTATGTTCAGAATGGGCTCCTGGTATTCTAGCTCCAAACCTTTCCTTTTCCAAGGTCCCGACCTCAGGGAAAAGCACCCAGACGTGGGCAATCGTTGTTTCTTTCTTCGTCCATCTTTTTTTTTTTTAATATATTTTATTGATTTTATACAGAGAGGAAGGGAAAGAGATAGGGAGTTAGAAACATCAATGAGTCATCGATCAGCTGCCTCCTGCACACCCCCCACCGGGAATATGCCTGCAACCAAGGTACATGCCCTTGACCGGAATCGAACCCGGGACCCTTCAGTCCCCAAGCTGACGCTCTATCCACTGAGCCAAACCGGTCCTGGATCTTCGTCCATCTTTAGCCAACTTCCAAGACCAGTCAACCCTAACTCCTGAATGTGATTCAGATACGTCTCCTTTTCTCCAATCTGTCTCCTCCTTTACCAGTAATTCAGGTCTTTGTATTTTCACCTCTAAACCAAACGCCATCTCTCCAGTATGGTGCCCACACACAGTCTATTTTCCTGGCTCTCCACCAGAGTTTATTGGTGACAAATATGAGCTTTGGCCCCAGCCGGTTTGGCTCAGTGGATAGGGTGTTGGCCTGTGGACTGAAGGGTCCCTGGTTTGATACCATTCAAAGGCACATGCCTGCCGAAACCGGTTTGGTTCAATAGATAGAGCGTCGGCCTGTGGACTGAAAGGTCCCGAGTTCGATTCCGGTCAAGGGCATGTACCTTGGTTGCGGGCACATCCCCAGTAGGGGGTGTGCGAGAGGCAGCTGATAGATGATTCTCTCTCATCAATGTTTCTAACTCTCCCTCTCACTTCCTCTCTGTAAAAAAATCAATAAAATGTATTTTAAAAAAAAGAAAAAAAAAAGGCACATACCTGTTTGCAGTCTCAATCCCCAGAAGGGGGCGTGCAGAAGGTGGCTGATCAATGATTTTCTCTCATTGATATTTCTATCTCTCCCTTTCCCTTCCTATCTGAAATCAATAAAAATATATATTTAAAAAATATATATATGAGCTTTGTAATCTGACAAGGTCATTCTACTACTTATTAACTGTTTGACCATGGGCAAGCTACTCAGTCTTTTTTTTTTAATAAAAATTTTTTGTATGAGTCTTTTTTTTATATATATATATATTATTGATTTTTTACAGAGAGGGAGAGAGAGGGATAGAGAGTTAGAAACATCAACGAGAGAGAATCATCAACCAGCTGCCTCTTGCACACCCCCACTAGGGATGTGCCCATAACCAAGGTGCATGCCTTTGACCGAAATCGAACCCAGGACCTTTCAGTCCGCAGGCTGATGCTCTATCCACTGAGCCAAACCGGTTTTGGCTACTCAGTCTTTTTGAGCCTTGGTTTTCTCTGAACTGAAAGATGAAAAAACACCTGCTCTACAGGGTAGTTGGCACCTGCAAAACCCTCAGCAGCTGGGGCTCACCTACCCCCACAAGCTTAGCCCTCACCAGCGCCCTGTGTCCCAGCCAGGCCTCCCTGCTTGCCGGGCCACAAGGGTGGCACACACTTTGCCACATGGCACTGCCACATTCTTCATTCCAGCCCCCTCCTGCTCCCTATTGCTTTGTCAGCTCACATGTCACCTTCTCCAAAGAAGTTTTCTGATTCTCTAACCCCCAACCCTCAACATGCTCTGACACCAACCTGGTTCCTTCGTGTCCCCATAGCTCTTATAACAGCATCGTAAACGCCCGTTTCCTTACTGGAATCCCATTGGATGTGTCATCCCTGAAGGCGGGGATTGCACCTTAGTCCTCCTCATTGCCCTAGCACAGCAGTCCGACATGGAGTAGATGCTCAATACGTACTTGTTAGGTAAATTAATGCACCGATGACTAAACCTGCGTCCGGCATTTTCCTGACCAATTACCAGTCGGCGACTGCTTGGACGTAGGACAGGGGTGGCATCAGTACCACAGGCGCTGAGTCTCCTGTTGCCCTTTGTTTCTGCAGGAGCCTGCTCTGCTGAGTCACTGCCGCAGGCTGGAGAGTTGTGACTGGCCGTGGTTCTTCTGGAGATATTTGTGCAGAGTGAATGTTGGGAGGAATAACTGGAAAATGCCTACAGAAAACTCCTTCCATACATTCTAACTGCCTCCTCCCTCCTAACCAAATCTCTCCTTCCTTTTGCTCCCATCGCTCCCTAGCTGTGGCACCTTAGGCAAAGTGCTTTACCGCTCTGAGCCTCATTTCCTCTCATGCAGAATGGGGTTAGCAGTCACAGTGTTACGGCAAAGCGAATCTCACCGCCCTCAGCACAGAACCAAGGCAAAGAAGGGCTCAAGAATGGTCCATCAGAAACTGAAGTTTCTCCAAACTGCTTTGCCTCCACCCCTTTTTCCCTTTCTGCCACACATCCCACCACCTGCTGTCTCCTTGTCCTCACCTTGTCTTTCTTCATCCTTGTCTCCCTTTGAAAGCCCAGCCCTTCCCTCCCCCATGAATCCTCCTGAACTCCTCCAGGCCTCCATGATGGAGGGGCTCCTCACCCAAACCTGCCCCCACTAGTGGCTGGTTGGGGCATAGGGGGAGAGCTCTCCCCCCGCCAACCAACAGCTCCAAGAAGGCAGGACTGAAGTGTCCTCTGCCCAGCTCTCCCCATACCTGGCGCCGTGCTGGCCAATCAGAGGTCAAGAGAGGTCAGTGAAGAGGATGAGGTGTTGTGGGGTCGACCCTGGAGTCAAAAATAAGACCACTGGAGGCTGCTAATTGATTTTAAAAAAGCAGGCAAGGTCCACACTCAGGACGGTGCCGCTGCAGGTGTAGACCTTTTAAAGGTCTAAACCACAAAAGCTTTCCTTCGTTCTAAATTCTAAATTCTACATGCTGGGAACAGCCCGCAAGGTCGTTGCCAGCCACATCCTGCTGGATGTTGGAATGTGGCTCTATCTTGCGAAAGCAATTGTTTTTTAAATATATTTTATTGAGAACCAGAGCAACAGAGGCCAGGCCCTGAGCAGCCAGGCCCAGAACAGCTCGCTCCTTGCCTGCCCCTGCCCCACGGCTGCTTCTCAGACATGGCTGGAAACTTTCGTGGGAACTTGAGGGGCTGCTGAATCAAGTGATGAAGGCTTAGATCTGGATGTGTTGAGTTAGTATAGGGCTGGGGTGTTGATCTGTGAGTGCCTTGGGTGGGGCCTGGATGAGGCTGGTTGACCTAGTGGGAAATGTCTTTTGTGTGAAGTGTATCATTGGGCATGTGGAGGTATTATTGATATGAGAAAATGCTAAGTAACTGATTTACTATCTGAAAAGGGATTTACTATCGGGGAAATTGAGGGAAGAAGAGACTGAACATAAACTGCACCTATGGATGAGGACAATGGGGGATGGGGGGGGACGGAGGGTGGGGTGGGAACCTGGTGGAGGGGGGAAGAAATGAGGAACCTTTGTAATAATATGAACAATAAAGATTGATTTAAAAAAAATAAAAAATAAAATTATGAAAAAAAATTAAAAAAAAATAAAAAAATAAAAAATATAAATCAAAAATAAATAAATAAATAAATAAATAAATAAATATATTTTATTGAGCCAAGACCTGTTTGGCTCAATGGATAGAGCGTCGGCTTGGGGACTGAAGGGTCCCGGGTTCGATTCCGGTCAAGGGCACGTACCTTGGTTTCGGGCATATCCCCAGTAGGGGGTGTGCAAGAGGCAGCTGATCGATGACTCTCTCTCATCGATGTTTCTAGCTCTCTATCTCTCTCCCTTCCTCTCTGTACAAAATCAATAAAATATATATTTAAAAAATAAATAAATAAAATAAAAAAATAAATATATTTTATTGATTTTTTACAGAGAGGAAGAGAGAGGGAAAGAGAGTTAGAAACATCGATGAGAGAGAATCACTGATCAGCTGCCTCTTGCACACCCCCTACTGGGGATGTGCCCGCAACCAAAGTACATGCCCTTGACCGGAATCGAACCCGGGACCTTTCAGTCCACAGACTGAGCTCTATCCACGGAGCCAAACCGGTTTCGGCTTGCGAAAACAATTTTTGCAGCATCAAGCAGAGTTAGTAATCTCTAAAGGCTATCTGCAGTTTCTCCTCCTGGAGCTACTGAGTCCGTGGGAATCCATCTCCCGTGGTCCTGGCCCGCAGGCACAGGAAAATCGCCTTAGCTCCCATGTGGAAGCCGAGGCAACTGGCCTATGGGCTGAAACCCACACCGCAGGTTTACCTGAGTATGGCTGCTACCACGCTTCAGAGGCACAGCAGCAATTTGCTTCGAGGGGCTCTCAGCTTCCCGGCTGGGGAGGGGGGGGGGGGTGGAGGCAGGCTTCCGCATCGCCTCTGCCCCTCCCCAGCCATCCAGCTGATCAAGGACCTGGTCAACTACGACGTGTCCGAGGCGCTGCTCAGGGGCCTCGTGGACCTGTTAACCCCCAACGTCCCGGAGGCCAGCGAGCCGCAGCCCAGGATCCTGAGCGGTAGGGATCGCTGGGACTGAGGGGGGGGGGGGCACCCCGCGAGAGCAGGGCCCTGCCTCACCGCCGCAACCCCCCCCCCCCCAGACACCTCGGTCCTGCAGCTCACCGCGGCCCACCTGCCCGCGGCCCACCTGCCCGCCTTCCTGCAGCAGGCGGCCGCCGCCAAGGCCATCGGGTAAGCCGGAGGGCGCGGGGGCTGCGGCGGCGGGTCCCCAGGGCTCGCCCCAACCCGGATCCCCGCCCAGGGTCCTGGTGCGCGGCAACACGACCCTGGCCGAGGAGATGCTGGGCCTGCGCGTGGTGCACAGCCTGATGGCCGCCATGGGCAACGCGGAGCACAGCAACAGCCAGCGGCAGGCCAGCCTCACGCTGGAGGTGCGGGGCGCGGGGCGCGGGGGGAGGGGAGACGGAGGGAAGGGCGGTCCCGCAGTCACACGCTGCCCCCCCTGCCCCCCCTGCCCCCTCCCCGCAGTACTTGGTGCAGGTTTTCCCGGTGGTGGAGGAGCACGTGCAGAAGTCCATGGGAGAGGAGCTCTACCAGCTGTTCCGCGTGAGTGCTCCCGGCCTCCTCCGCCTCCGCCTCCAAGAGACAGCGGCCCCGACACACGGTGCCCCCTGCGCCCCGTCCCTGCACCCCGTCTCCCCACCCCGTCCCCGCACCCCGTCCCCCCACCCCATCCCCCCACCCCGTCCCCCCACCCCGTCCCCTCACCCCGTCCCCGCACCCCGTCCCCGCACCCCGTCCCCCCACCCCGTCCCCGCACCCCGTCCCCCCACCCCATCCCCCCACCCCGTCCCCCCACCCCGTCCCCGCACCCCGTCCCCGCACCCCGTCCCCCCACCCCATCCCCCCACCCCGTCCCCCCACCCCGTCCCTCCACCCCGTCCCCTCACCCCGTCCCCCCACCCCGTCCCCCCACCCCGTCCCTCCACCCCGTCCCCTCACCCCGTCCCCCCACCCCGTCCCCTCACCCCGTCCCCCCACCCCGTCCCTCCCCCCCGTCCCCGCACCCCGTCCCCCCACCCCGTCCCTCCCCCCCGTCCCCGCACCCCGTCCCCGCGCCCCGTCTCCCCACCCCGTCCCCGCACCCCGTCCCCCCACCCCGTCCCTCCACCCCGTCCCCGCACCCCGTCCCTCCCCCCCGTCCCCGCACCCCGTCCCCGCACCCCGTCCCCCCACCCCGTCCCTCCCCCCCGTCCCCACACCCCGTCCCCGCGCCCCGTCCCCGCACCCCGTCCCCCCACCCCGTCCCTCCCCCCCGTCCCCACACCCCATCCCCGCACCCCGTCCCCGCACCCCGTCCCTCCACCCCGTCCCCGCACCCCGTCCCCCCACCCCGTCCCCGCACCCCATCCCCGCACCCCGTCCCCCCACCCCGTCCCCCCACCCCGTCCCCCCACCCCGTCCCCGCACCCCGTCCCCGCACCCCGTCCCTCCCCGGGCACCCCTCTCCGGACCCGGCCGGCCGGCTGCGGGGCAGGACCGAGGGCGGGGCTGCACCTGCCTCTCCGCTCCCTCCCCTGCTCCCGCCTGCGACTTCCCCGCTCAAGCCCCGCGCCAAGCCCAGGCTGCCTCGGTTCCCCTCCCTGTCCTCAGAGCAACGCCGAGGACTTGCACATGAAGATAGACAGCGTTCAGGTGGACATCCTGGCCACCAACAAAGTCAACGTTTCCAAAGGTGAGCGGGCGGGCGGGAGCGGGGCCCCTGGAGCGCGGGTGCGGCGGCCCCAGCCTCAGCTCACCCCGTTTGCAGCCCTGTACCAGCGCGGCCAGTTCTTCAACACCGGGAGGTTTTCCTTTCGCTCTGGGGATCAGAACCAGCTGACTGGCCTCACGGGCATCCAGGAGGACGCGAAAGGAAAGGAGTGACAGAGCCTCTGAGGGTCCGGCAGAAGGAGCCAGGAGTCCATCTCCTGGAGTCCAGACTCCACTTGGCTGTGGGTGGGAGGCTGCGGGGGGTGGGGGGAGCTGGCTGGGAAGAGTTCAATAAAAGTTTTGCTGTGTATCTGTTGTGTGTGTGTGGAAGGGGAAGGAGACGCAGTGAGAGCAGGGCCCTCGGAGATCTAATCTCCTGTTACCTCTGAACTGTCTCCTACTTCCGTCTCTCCCCTTCGCAGGCTCCAGGCACACTCGCTATGTGTTTCTTTCTTTCTTTTTTTAATGTATTTTATTGATTTTTTACAGAGAGGAAGGGAGAGGGATAGAGAGTTAGAAACATTGATGAGAGAGAATCATCGATCAGCTGCCTCTTGCACACCCCCTACTGGGGAGGTGCCCGCAACCAAGGTACGTGCCCTTGACCGGAATCGAACCCAAGACCCTTCAGTCCGAAGGCCGACACTCTATCCACTGAGCCAAACCGGTTTCGGCTCTATATGTTTCTTAACAAGCCATGCCTCAGGACTGCTGTGCTGACTTCTGGTGAACAGGGAGAGAGGTTCTGTTCTTAGACCCTCTCAGCTCAGATATCTAGTGGCATGGCTAAGCCCCTCATCTCTTTTCAACTTACACAAAGTCACCTATTCCTTTTTATTTATTTATTTATTTATTTTTTATTTATTTATTTTGAGAGAGAGAGAGAAACACTGATTTGTGTTTCTCACATAAAAGAATCGACCAGTCGAAACCGGTTTGGCTCAGTGGTAGAGCGTCGGTCTGTGGACTGAAAGGTCCTGGGTTCGATTCCAGTCAAGGGCATGTACGTTGGCTGTGGGCACATCCCCAGTGGGAGATGTGCAGGAGGCGGCTGGTCGACGATTCTCTCTCATCGACATTTCTGACTCTCTATCTCTCTCCCTTCCTCTCTGTAAACAATCAATAAAATATATATTTTTAAAAAGAATCAACCAATGATGCAGAAGTACATGAAACTTGTTGATTCTTTTATGTGCCCTGACCTGGGATCAAAGTGTGGCATATGGGGACAATGTTCTAACCAACTAAGCTGCCCGGCCAGGACTGAGGGCTACGCTTTTTTTTTTTTCTTTTCTTTTTTTATTTACAGAGAGGAAGGAAGACTGATCATTAGAACATCAGTGAGAGAGAGAAACATCGATCAGCTGCCTCCTGCACATTCCCAGCAACCAAGGAACATGACCGGAATCGAACCTAGGACCTTTTAGTCCACAGGCCGATGCTTTATCCACTGAGCCAAACCGGGTAGGGCAGGGCTACTCTTTTTTATTTTATTTTTTTTAATATATTTTATTGATTTTTTTTACAGAGAGGAAGAGAGAGGGAGAGAGATAGAAACATCAATGATGAGAGAGAATCACCGATTGGCTGCCTCTTGCACACCCCCCACTGGGGATCGAGCCTGCAACCCAGGCATGTGCCCTGGCTGGGAATCGAACCGGTGACCTCTTGGTTCCCGGGTCGATGCTCAACTGCTGTGCTACACTTGGCTGGGCTGGGGCTACTCTTTCTTAAGTTGCAACCCACACTGTGCCACTCCCTACACCATGGCCCCGCCCCCTTAGCAGGCCATTTTTCCATAGTATTTATCCATTTATTATCTCTCCACCTGAATGTAAGCTCCACTAGAACAATGATAAATATGATAGATACATAGATACAGATATTAGATAATATAGATATAAGTATGGTATTATTTAAAATATGGGTTTTTTCCTTCCCCCACCTGGTGAAAGAAATAGACTTACAAGTCTAAGAAACACACAGAACCCCAAACAAAAGGAACCCAAAGAGAACCACGCCAAGACACATCATAATTAAAATGCAAAGAGCAAAAGACAAAAAGAGAATATTAAAAGCATCAAGAGAAAAGCAGATAGCCAAAACCAGTTTGGCTCAGTGGATAGAGCTAAGTCTGCGGACTGAAAGGTCCCAGGTTCGATTCCGGTTAAGGGCATGTACATTGGTTGCGGGCACATCCCCGGTGGGGGGTGTGCAGGAGGCAGCTGGTTGATGTTTCTCTCTCATCGACGTTTCTGGCTCTCTATTTCCCTTCCTCTCTGTAAAGAAATCAATAAAATATATTTAAAAAAAAAAAAAAAAAAAAGCAGCCGGGACCAGTTTGGCTCAATGGATAGAGCGTCAGCTTGGGGACTGAAGGGTCCCAGGTTCAATTCCAGTCAAGGGCATGTACCTTGGTTGCGGGCATATCCCCAGTGGGGGGTGTGCAGGAGGCGGCTGATCGATGTTTCTCTCTCATTGATGTTTCTAACTCTCTATCCCTCTCCCTTCCTCTCTGTACAAAAATCAATAAAATATATTTAAAAAAATAAAATAAAATAAAAAATAAAAAAAGCAGATAGTTACCTATAAAGGAGCACCCATATGATTGTCAGCTGATTTCTCAACAGAAACCATGCAGGCCAGATGGGAATGACAAGAAATATTCAAGGTGATGAATAACAAGAACCTACAGCCAAAAAATACTCTACCCAACAAAGCTATCCCTCAGAATCGAAGGCCAGATAAAGAGCTTCACTAATAAAAAAAAAGCTAAAGGAGTTCATCACCACAAATTATATGAATTGCTGAAGGGGCTTCTTTAGGAAGAGGAAGAAAATAAAGATAAAAATTATGAACAACAAATACGTAACTATCAACAAGTGAATCTAAAAACCAAGGGAATTTAAAAAAAATCTGATGAACAATATTAACTGTTGAATATAATAGAATCAGAGGTATGGAAGAGGAGTGAACTGATGATTCTTGGGGAAAGGGGGAGAGGGAGATGAGGGAAGAGACTGAACAAAGACTGTGCACCTATGGATGAGGACAATGAGGGGTGGGGAAAGGGCAGAGGGTGGGGTGGGAACCTGGTGGAGGAGAGCAATGGTGGAGGGGGGGAGAAAGGAACATTTGTAATAATATGAACAATAAAAACTTATTTAAAAAAATAAATAAATTAGCCGAAACCGGTTTGGCTCAGTGGATAGAGCATCAGCCTGCAGACTCAAGGGTCATAGGTTTGATCCCGGTCAAGGGCATGTACCTTGGTTGCGGGCACACCCACAGTGGGGAGTGTGCAGGAGGCAGCTGGTCGATGTCTCTCATCGATGTTTCTAACTCTCTATCCTTCTCCCTTCCTCTCTGTAAAAAATCAATAAAATATATTTTAAAAAAATAAAAATTAGCCAGGACCGGTTTGGCTCAATGGATAGAGCGTCGGCTTGGGGACTAAAGGGTCCCGGGTTCGATTCCGGTCAAGGGCATGTACCTTGGTTGCGGGCATATCCCCGGTAGGGGGTGTGCAAGAGGCAGCTGATCGATGACTCTCTCTCATCGATGTTTCTAGCTCTCTATCTCTCTCCCTTTCTCTCTATAAAATATATAAAAATCAATAAAATATATATTAAAAAAATAATAATAAATAAAAATTAATTAATTAAAAATAAATTAAAAAAAAACTGTGCACCTAGGGATGAGTGGGGGGTGGGGAAAGAGCAGAGGGTGTGATGGGAACCTGGTGGAGGGGGAAAAAATGAGGAACTTTTGTAATAATATGAACAATAAAGATTTATTTACAAAATAAAAATAAAATAAAATATGGGGGTTTTGTTTGTTTTTTAAATATATTTTTATTGATTTTTTTTCCAGAGAGGAATAGTTAGAAACATTGGTGAGACAGAAATATCAATCAGCCGAAACCGGTTTGGCTCAGTGGTAGAGCGTCCGTCTGCGGACTGAAAGGTCCCAGGTTCGATTCCGGTCAAGGGCATGTACATTGGTTGCGGGCACATCCCCGGTAGGGGGTGTGCAAGAGGAACTGGTCGATGGTCGATGTTTCTCTCTCATCGACGTTTCTAGCTCTCTATCTCTCTCCCTTCCTCTCTGTAAAAAATCAATAAAATATATTTTTTTTAAAAAAAGAAAGAAATATCAATCAGCTGCCTCCTGCACACCCTCCACCGAGCCCATAACCAAGGTACATGCCCTCAACTGGAATCTAACCTACCCTGTTTCCCCAAAAATAAGACAGTGTCTTATATTAGTTTTTGCTCCCAAAGATGTGCTAGGTCTTATTTTCAGGGGATGTCTTATTTTTCCATGAAGAAGAATACGGTACACATTTATTGTTAAATGAAGATAAAGGAAATTTATTACCTGTATACGGTACAGTAGTACGGTAGTTGTCAACACAAACCAGACAAACTGTGAATCCTACAGTATCAAGAATTTACTCATTTATTCAATGACAATGATATCATCATCTTCTGGAACATCATCATAACAATCCAATTCTGAATTTCCTGGTGAATTTCTTGTGACTCCATTTCTTTCAGAATCAGTGGACCAAATCTCTCATGTTTAGCCTGGGGGGGCTTTATTTCAGGGGGGATGCCTTATATTTCACTCAGAAGGAAACCTGTAAGAAGGTCTTATTTTCAGAGGATGTCTTATTTTCGGGGAAACATGGTAGTACCTTCCAGTCTGAGGTCTGATGCCCTACTTACTGAGCTAAACCAGTGAAAGCTAAAAATATGTTTTATTGCCGAGACTGGTTTGGCTCAATGGATAGAGCGTCGGTCTGCAGACTGAAGGGTCCTGGGTTCGATTCCGGTCAAGGGCATGTACATTGGTTGCGGGCACATCCCTGGCAGGGGTGTGCAGGAGGCAGCTGGTCGATGTTTCTCTCTCATTGATGTTTCTAGCTCTCTATCCCTCTCCCTTCCTCTCTGTGGAAAATAAATAAAATATATTTTAAAATGTTTTATTATTTTCACTGAGCTACACCGGTTTCGGCTTAAAAATGTTTTATTATTTTCAGAGAGAGGAAGGGAGAGGGAGAAAGAAACATCGTCGATCAGCTACCTCTTGCACTCCCCCAACTGGGCCCTCTTGCATTCCCCCTACTGGGGATCTAGCCGAAACCCAGGCATTGGGACCCTTCAGTCCCC